CTGCTGACCTTTTTGTTTAGTTTTTCAAAGCAATGTAACTACTTTTACCCACCTTGTCAAATGGAATAATCCATACTTCAGAAAAATATTCCTAGATCAACTTTGTAGTAAAACACTCTAAAGACCTTTTGTGAAAATCATTAAATTACAAAGTAGTATTATAATCAGCATTCCAGGCTACATACTTCCATGCTTCCACAAGGTGTTTAGATGATAATCCATCAAATATATCTAAAAGCAGAACAAACATTTTCACAGCAAAACTCCTGGGATTTAACTACAGTGGCTGGATTTTTTGCCTAGTCATTTACATACTAGAAGTATCAATAGTGATCTGTTTGGGGTGCAGGAATGTATCCACTGTTGTACAGGCTGATCATGGCCAGCAATCTCAACTCCACAAATGTGTGCAATTACACTTGTACCCGGCGCAAGCAGCTATGCTGCCAAAGCGCACTCTGCCCAATAGCCTGGTTCTGAATGTAAATCATAGGCACAGAAAAGAACAGTAAATCCAGCATAAACCAGGAATGCTTTCTTCTACTTGCCAAAAACAACAACAACAAAAAAAAAATTGCAGCAAGAAAGAGGAAATCTCTTGAAATCTAGTTTGGGCAGTCTTTCCACTGATATCAAACCAAGCAAGCACAGACAGGCCCTAGTAATTCTGCAGCCCCAAATCTGCCAACTCATTTGGGTTACACTAGTGCTGTACAACGATGCATTTTTGGGAAGCACTTCTCCTATGAGGACAGGCTGAGAGAGTTGGGGCTGTTCAGCCTGGAGAAGAGTAGGCTCCGGGGAGACTTTATAGCAGCCTTCCAGTACCTCAAGGGGTCCTACACAACACACGGAGAAGGCCAGAGGGGCTTTTTATAAGGGCATCTAGTGATAGGATGAGGGGTAATGGCTTCAAACTGGAAGAGGGGAGATTTAGAATAGATATTAGGAAGAATTTTTTTCACTCTGAGGGTGGTGAGGCACTGGAACAGGTTGCCCAGAGAAGTTGTGGATGCCCCATCCCTGAAGGTGTTCAAGGCCAGGCTGGATGGGGCTTTGAGCAACCTGGTCTGGTGGGAGGTGTCCCTGCCCATGGCAGGGGGGTTGGAACTCGATCATGTTTAAGGACCCTTCCAACATAAACCATTCTATGATTCTATGATTTTCCAGAGCTACTGCTATCTTGAGGAGCCCAAGCAGAGCACAGTGTGTACAGGGCTATGTCGCTTCTGATCTCTGAACTGGGCTCACTCTGCAGCACTGGACTGGGCAGATATTCCCCAAGGACTCCTGTGAACCCCCACCTGCTCCCTTGTGAAACCTGCTGCTCTGCAAGCCCCTTCAGGTTTTAAATCAACATGAGAGATTTCCCTTCTACATTAATGAATTTAATAGTGGAAGCATTGTTCTTTTGTTTTTCCAGCGGAGTAAGAAAAGGAAATGTTCTTTTGATCTAAGATGCATAGAGACACTTCGAGGCAATGAAAGATGGACAAAATGTCTTATCATTACAACATACAAAGTCTTAGAGACGAAATACACGAGGTGCAGTTTCTCCATGTTAGCTAACCCAACAGGAAACTTCATTTGTATTTGAATTTTAATGACCTTATGAATAATTTACCCAAGCTCAGTCTTTTGAACCACGGAAAATCGTATTAATTAATGAGGTTTTTTTTCTTGCTCACCTTCTGTTTATCCATTTTGAGATAAGAGAACCTGAACGGCACAGAGCATGCCAGACGCAGCTGAATCAGATTTATGAAGCTGCAGAGAAGGTTTCTCACCTTGTGTTCTACTCTGTCCCTAATAACACTGGACATTTGACTGGCACTGAGCTGACACTTTCTTGGCCCTGTCTATCTGAACCCCAGGATCTTGCCCCTCAGAGGTATCTGGGGATCCACCAGTGCAGATCCCACCACTTCACATGTGAAACTATTACTGGCTTTGCTTTGTGTATCACTTGAATTTTACCTGCACTCATTTTCAAGACCCGTTTTATTCCATATTTGCCCTGCAGATCTTCCATCATCCTTACTGCCTTAAATAATTTTGTATCTTTAGTAAACTTTGTTACCTCCCTCTTTGAGATCATTTATGAACACACTGAACAGCACAAGCCCCAGTGCAGGCCTCCAAGGAACAACCCTTGTGACATTGCCCTACTTCAAGAACTAACCATTTTCTCCTACTGTTTTCTGTCTTTCCCTTTCTCACATCCATATGAAGACCAACCCCAGGTGCTTAATTTTCCTGAAAGCATTTTGTGACAGACAATCAACTCCAAGTTTGGAAAAGAAGAAAGATGTGTGCTTTGAGTAGATCATCTAAAGCAGACCCATGTGACACACACACACAAAAAAGGCAACTGCAATGCTCCGTCACATCAAGGTGTCTTCAGTAAAGCAGAACTAGAGGTGTGCTATTTGAGTAAGATGCAGCTCAGACCTCCTCTGGACTAAGCTACCTCATTCTGTATATCCACACTTAAAGAATGAATTCACACTGGAAGAAGAGCAGACAAAGTTACTGAAACTATCAGGGGAATAGAGACTATTTTATGAGAGGAAGATAAAAGCGGCTGGCTTCCACGGCACAGCTGAATGGAGGCTGAAAAGTGATATAGTATCTCCCTGTTAATGCATCAGCATACAAGTACTACCAAGGGAAAAGAAATGCTTTAGATGAAGAATAATATTGCCACACAAACAAATAGCTTTGATGTAGCATGAATAAATTTAGTCTTGAAATTAGGAAAAGGTTTCTAAGCTTCAGAGAAGAGTTTTGGAGCAGCCATCCACTTTCAGTACTGGGGAAGGAACCCAGATACGTTTAAAATGGAGCCTGATAAAGCTTGGTAACTTAATGGTAAGTGCAATAATATGAGGCTACATAGGACAAGCAGAAATTGAGCTTGCAGACCTAGAAAGTCCCTTGCAAGCTCCAGCTTCCCAAATTTAACATATGTTTGTACTGTACAATTACACTAATTTGGACCCAAACATCTGTATCATACATACGAAAAAAAAAAAAAAATTGACACATTTGTTGGTTTATGCACAGAGCAGGTTGATGGTGATTTAATTCCAGCCTCTGTGCTGACCCAGGCAGCAATCGGGCCGTTTCTTGGGGAGGAGTTCTGTTACCTCTCCAATACTTCTCTCATAATTCCTTCTGAAGGACAGACATTCTCCTTCCAGGTGCTACACAGTATGCAACCCAGACTCAGAGGAAAGCATAGAATGAGAAAGACTTTACTACAGGAACATTTGCAACAAGGTTATATTAAACTGGGTGCTCAGACTAGCTTGCCTGGTTTACCCTTACAGAAATTTTCCCAATTCACAGAATTAGTTGAGATGCCTGAAGCAGATGCTACCTTCTAAGGCCTGTTCTGCCATTCTGGTGAGATTGTCACATCACTGAAGGGATAGCTGAGGGGACTGTGTATCTGCTCCTCAGCTGCTAACAATTACAGGAACTATAATACTAGAGCGCTGACAGTTTCAGTCTGAGGAGAGAATATTGCTCCACTCAACCAGCAGCAGTGAGATGATGACATCTCCCAAAAGCAATGGATGAGTGATCAATGTTTGCTTGCTACTTGAGATGCGGAGTCACTGCTTGGGAATAATGATATTGAAAAGCTAGAGCTAAAGCAGTCACAATTTCTGAGGCTATGGCAAGTGGGGAGGAAAAGATCTGTATTCTTCCCAGTATGAAATTGCTTATGTGACTTTTCCTAGCAATGCCTATAATCTTAGTCATCACTGTACAAAAGTAATTAAAAAAAATCCCAATAACAAAAAAACCCCCAAACAATACAGCCATACATTAAAAGACAGGAAATTATAGATTTCAGGCAGGAGATACTCCATGTCTGCTTTTAGACACTTGCACTCTATTGCCTCCCATCTCTGCACCCACACCTTGTTCGTAGCTTCTTTGTACTTTAACCTCTTTAGGGAAATACCCTTTATAATCCCTCCATAAAGTGCCTACCACATGCTAGTTCTACATAAATAATAGATAATAAAATATATGCCAATTTGCCCTTTCCAGTGGAAACTACCATGTTTAGAAGCAATCCTAAGATATTCTTTTTGTTATGAGAATAGGATGCTCAGAAGAAGGGGACTAGTTACCAAGATATTTCTTCATTCTATCAAGGAGACTTGCTATGGGTGACTAGAATTAAATTGCCCATGTAGCATATCTGATAACCGTGTTACTGATTATGAAGACAGACAAGATTTACTGAATGCTGTATTTTCATATCTATAGTGCAAATATCAGATAACAGTCACCCGTTTAAGAGCACTGACCTTTGAAAAACCAAACCCTCAGATAACCTGCCCAAACTCAGAAGCAAAGTGACACCAGAAATAAAAGGATATTACTCACACATAATCCCTTCTATTGTCTATTCATTGCTTAGAGGTACCATTTCTTAAAAAAAATCTCACAGAAAAAACGCGTGCAAGACCAGCAGGATTTGCCAAATTAAATAAGATCAACACTTCATCTAGCTTTCATTTTTGTAAAAGTTTTTAGCTGTTAAATGCAGTTTTAGTTTTTAAAACTTTTCTTTTTTCTTTCTTTTTCTGTTTCCTCTCTCCTCGACACAGACGACATTTCATTGATCATACAAAGAGCAAAACCCTACAAAATGTAGGCAGTTGGCTTTCAGTTCTGTTCACATATGGGGAAAGTAATTTACTGTCTTATGACTTGGAGGACTTCTACTGTTATAAGTTTACGTACACATACAAAATGTCTTTATCTGTTGTGATGTAATTTTGAATGTCATCATACTCTACAAAAGTGCTTGTGTTTGAAAGTCATTTAAAATGCTTACATCTTTCTACATTGATCTTGATGCTGTGAGTTATACAGGTCAATTATGCATTCAATAAAATATTTACTCTTCCATTTGCTGTCTTTCGAGTTAGTCTTTTGCTTTTATAACTTTCTAAAAAGGCTTGCTCATGACTTTTTCTATACTTTTCAGTGGTTTGTATCCCTCTTGTGCAAATTATTATTAGCTATTAGTTATTTTGTCTTTTGTCTTACCTGTGTCTAATTGTTCCTGTTAGATGACTTCGTAGAGAAATATGTAGAATTGATCATCGTATTCCAGATAAGATATATTTTCTCCCTCCATTTTTACATACCATCACACTTTGTTTTCCAGAGTCTCTAGGTAGCTCACAACAACGTGTAACTCATAACAGCCTATGTCAAACCCAGCATTGTGTACGAGCATTTCACACTACTCTTCCACCCTGTGTTAGCTTGGCACTGCATGTTTTCTCCCCTCACCCTTCTCAGATACTGCTTGGACCAATCTAAGCAGTCCTGTATCATCACTGCTTTCTTTCTTCATAGTTCAGTCCCTCCTGTAGCTCATTAATTGGTCTTCTCTCTGTTAAGAAACAGTGGCCTTCTTACAGGTGTTTCAGGGCCCCGAATTGAGCATTTAGTGCCAAAACGCAGAGGTGCTGCAATTCTGTGTTGCAATAACCCAGGCTGGTTCCACACAGAAATCCCCAGAGGCTGCCCCGAAGGGCGGATGTTTGAATGTCCTAAATGGACCTGACATCAGGTAAAGCAAGCAACAGGCAAACAGAGCTGCCACAGCCCTCTGAAAGTTCCCCGCAGACAGCCTCTCCCAGGCTATGGTGATGAAGCCTGGAAGG